TTACTGTGTACTTTTTGAGTAATACTCTGTCAAACTCCCCTCCAGAGTACAATAATGCATGTTTTCTGCCCTCTTTGATGAGAGATACAATCATTTTTTGCAATGAGTTCTTAATAAAATCGGTTATGCTGAATTCTGTACTACTTGGACTACTACCACGAGTACAATCAAGCACTTTTACTGTGTACTTTTAAAGTAATACTTGTTTAAACTCCTGTCCTGAGTACACAAAAGAATGTATTCTGCTATCTTTGATGAGAGATAAAATGATTTTTTGCAATAAGTTCTTAGTGAAATTAGTACTGTTGGATTCAGTACTACTTGGATTAGTAGCACAAGTACAATCAAGTATTTTTACTGTGTACTTTTTGAGTAATCCTTTGTCAAACTCCACCCCTGAGTACAATAATGCATGTTTTCTGCCATCTTTGATGAGAGATAAAAGGATTTTGTGCAATAAGTTATTAATGTAATTGGTACTGTTGGATTCAGTACTACTTGGACTAGTAGCACAAGTACAATCAAGTATTTTTACTGTGTACTTTTTGAGTAATCCTTTGTCAAACTCCACCCCTGAGTACAATAATACATGTTTTCTGCCATCTTTGATGGGAGATGAAATGATTTTGTGCAATAAGTTCTTAATGAAATTGGTACTGTTGGATTCAGTACTACTTGGACTACTACTAAAAGTACAATCAAGTACTTTTACTGTGTACTTTTTGAGTAATCCCCTGTCAAACTCCCCTCCAGAGTACAATAATGCATGTTTTCTGCCATCTTTGATGAGAGATAAAATGATTTTGTGCAATAAGTTCTTAATGAAATTGGTACTGTTGGATTCAGTACTACTTGGACTACTACTAAAAGTACAATCAAGTACTTTTACTGTGTACTTTTTGAGTAATCTCCTGTCTAACTCCCCTCCAGAGTACAATAATGCATGTTTTCTGCCATCTTTGATGAGAGATGAAATGATTTTGTGCAATAAGTTCTTAATGAAATTGGTACTGTTGGATTCAGTACTACTTGGACTAATACTAAAAGTACAATCAAGTACTTTTACTGTGTACTTTTTGAGTAATCCCCTGTCAAACTCCCCTCCAGAGTACAATAATGCATGTTTTCTGCCATCTTTGATGAGACATAAAATGATTTTGTGCAATAAGTTCTTAATGACATTGGTACTGTTGGATTCAGTACTACTTGGACTACTACTAAAAGTACAATCAAGTACTTTTACTGTGTACTTTTTGAGTAATCCCCTGTCAAACTCCCCTCCAGAGTACAATAATGCATTTTTTCTGCCATCTTTGATGAGAGATAAAATGATTTTGTGCAATAAGTTCTTAATGAAATTGGTACTGTTGGATTCAGTACTACTTGGACTACTACTAAAAGTACAATCAAGTACTTTTACTGTGTACTTTTTGAGTAATCCCCTGTCAAACTCCCCTCCAGAGTACAATAATGCATGTTTTCTGCCATCTTTGATGAGAGATAAAATGATTTTGTGCAATAAGTTCTTAATGAAATTGATACTGTTGGATTCAGTACTACTTGGACTAGTAGCACAAGTACAGTCAAGTACTTTTACTGTGTACTTTTTGAGTAATCCTTTGTCAAACTCCACCCCTGAGTACAATAATGCATGTTTTCTGCCATCTTTGATGAGAGATAAAATGATTTTGTGCAATAAGTTCTTAATGAAATTTGTAGTGTTGGATTCAGTACTACTTGGACTACTACTAAAAGTACAATCAAGTACTTTTACTGTGTACTTTTTGAGTAATCCCCTGTCAAACTCCCCTCCAGAGTACAATAATGCATTTTTTCTGCCATCTTTGATGAGAGATTAAATGATTTTGTGCAATAAGTTCTTAATGAAATTGATACTGTTGGATTCAGTACTACTTGGACTACTACTAAAAGTACAATCAAGTACTTTTACTGTGTACTTTTTGAGTAATCCCCTGTCAAACTCCCCTCCAGAGTACAATAATGCATGTTTTCTGCCATCTTTGATGAGAGATAAAATGATTTTGTGCAATAAGTTCTTAATGAAATTGATACTGTTGGATTCAGTACTACTTGGACTAGTAGCACAAGTACAGTCAAGTACTTTTACTGTGTACTTTTTGAGTAATCCTTTGTCAAACTCCACCCCTGAGTACAATAATGCATGTTTTCTGCCATCTTTGATGAGAGATAAAATGATTTTGTGCAATAAGTTCTTAATGAGATTTGTACTGTTGGATTCAGTACTACTTGGACTACTACTAAAAGTACAATCAAGTACTTTTACTGTGTACTTTTTGAGTAATCCCCTGTCAAACTCCCCTCCAGAGTACAATAATGCATGTTTTCTGCCATCTTTGATGAGAGATAAAATGATTTTGTGCAATAAGTTCTTAATGAAATTGGTACTGTTGGATTCAGTACTACTTGGACTACTACTAAAAGTACAATCAAGTACTTTTACTGTGTACTTTTTGAGTAATCCCCTGTCAAACTCCCCTCCAGAGTACAATAATGCATGTTTTCTGCCATCTTTGATGAGAGATAAAATGATTTTGTGCAATAAGTTCTTAATGAAATTGGTACTGTTGGATTCAGTACTACTTGGACTACTACTAAAAGTACAATCAAGTACTTTTACTGTGTACTTTTTGAGTAATCCCCTGTCAAACTCCCCTCCAGAGTACAATAATGCATGTTTTCTGCCATCTTTGATGAGAGATAAAATGATTTTGTGCAATAAGTTCTTAATGAAATTGGTACTGTTGGATTCAGTACTACTTGGACTACTACTAAAAGTACAATCAAGTACTTTTACTGTGTACTTTTTGAGTAATCCCCTGTCAAACTCCCCTCCAGAGTACAATAATGCATGTTTTCTGCCATCTTTGATGAGAGATAAAATGATTTTCTGCAATAAGTTCTTAATGAAATTGGTACTGTTGGATTCAGTACTACTTGGACTACTACTAAAAGTACAATCAAGTACTTTTACTGTGTACTTTTTGAGTAATCCTTTGTCAAACTCCACCCCTGAGTACAATAATACATGTTTTCTGCCATCTTTGATGGGAGATGAAATGATTTTGTGCAATAAGTTCTTAATGAAATTGGTACTGTTGGATTCAGTACTACTTGGACTTGTAGCACAAGTACAATCAAGTATTTTTACTGTGTACTTTTTGAGTAATCCTTTGTCAAACTCCACCCCTGAGTACAATAATACATGTTTTCTGCCATCTTTGATGGGAGATGAAATGATTTTGTGCAATAAGTTCTTAATGAAATTGGTACTGTTGGATTCAGTACTACTTGGACTACTACTAAAAGTACAATCAAGTACTTTTACTGTGTACTTTTTGAGTAATCCCCTGTCAAACTCCCCTCCAGAGTACAATAATGCATGTTTTCTGCCATCTTTGATGAGAGATAAAATGATTTTGTGCAATAAGTTCTTAATGAAATTGATACTGTTGGATTCAGTACTACTTGGACTAGTAGCACAAGTACAGTCAAGTACTTTTACTGTGTACTTTTTGAGTAATCCTTTGTCAAACTCCACCCCTGAGTACAATAATGCATGTTTTCTGCCATCTTTGATGAGAGATACAAGGATTTTGTGCAATAAGTTCTTAATGAAATTGGTACTGTTGGATTCAGTACTACTTGGACTACTACTAAAAGTACAATCAAGTACTTTTACTGTGTACTTTTTGAGTAATCCCCTGTCAAACTCCCCTCCAGAGTACAATAATGCATGTTTTCTGCCATCTTTGATGAGAGATCAAATGATTTTGTGCAATAAGTTCTTAATGAAATTGGTACTGTTGGATTCAGTACTACTTGGAATACTACTAAAAGTACAATCAAGTACTTTTACTGTGTACTCTTTGAGTAATCCCCTGTCAAACTCCCCTCCAGAGTACAATAATGCATGTTTTCTGCCATCTTTGATGAGAGATGAAATGATTTTGTGCAATAAGTTCTTAATGAAATTGGTACTGTTGGATTCAGTACTACTTGGACTACTACTAAAAGTACAATCATGCTTTGCCTGTCCAGATACGATGCTGTAGTACATGGAGAGAAGTTCCTGGAGGCTGACTCCACAGAAATTATAGGCCATGGACTCCATGAGGACTGTAGAGCCATCACAGATCAGCATGACAGGTCTTTTTTTGGCTCCCCTTCCATGGAGTCTTATTACATCAGTCAGAAATGACCCAAGGAAAAAGGATATGGAGGCTATTGTGTGGTCGTTTGTGATGTAGGTGGCCACAGGGACAGGGGAGGATCCTTTGAATGGATTTCGGACCACCATCTCATACACATAAAAAGGTGAGGTTTTCCCTTTTGCCTTTTTAACAATGCTCCCTGTCGCATCCACATATACAATGTCTTCCCTGCACCTGTCATGGAAGAGGTCAATTGTTTTGTTGGACCATAGCATGACTCCTTTGGGGTGTGCTATAATTTTTTTAATGACTGCTTCCTCAGTCTCAAGCTCTTCCTCCATCATTTTTCTGAGGCTGATCATTTCATTGCTGTGTTTTCTCAGCTTCTTTCTTGCCTGCCAGGACAATGTTTTCATCACACCAGTTGATGGTACCTGGTCTCTGTTTCCAGAAGCCAACACAGTGTCATCCAGTTTATTGAGCTTATCAAGGTACACACTTCTGGGAAGTTTGCTGGTGAGGGCATTAGCAAGTGCATCCCTTTCATCTGCACGCACAGGCCGATGTTTGAGTTCTTCACAGTTGTGCCATGCTTTTTCACCTCTGAAGGTCACAACTGCCTTAAGGGATGACTCATCCTCAATGTCAACTTCGACCTCCACAGGACAGTCATCAAATCGACAGTAGCCAACACATGAAAAAAGTGACCCTTTCCTTTTTGACCGAACTGTTCGCACACTGTGAGATTTGAAGACAAAGCAACAGTGTGGGTGGACACTCCGGATGCCAGTGGCCATCATGACTGAAGTCCAGTTTAAAGATTTGAATCGACGCTTATGTTGTCTCATCCTCAGTTTCTTCCAGTCACTTTTAGTGACAAAAAAAAATGAAGGATTTGAAGGCAATTTAAATGAGTGTAAGAGTTGCCCATCTTTTGAGTGTGATGAGGAGTCATATGTCCCTGATGAATTACACTGTAAAACACAATGAAAACATATTAGCGAAAGTGACCAAAGTTGGAATGACTCTTTACTGATATGAATCAATATATCTGAAATTGTTTATTTGGGACTAACTATAATTTCACTCCACACAGTAGTGTGCATGTTTCATAACACACTAACACTAACTACGTGCTAATATGCGATATTTACCTCTGAAACGTCTTCTGGTTCACTCGTCTCTGTGAATGCCTGTCTAACCGACGATGGGGTAGCAGGCACTGTGCGGTCAATGTCAGTGGAACTGTGGTCACTGTCGATGGGGCAGGCCGTGTGGTCACTGTCTGTCGATGGGCTGGCAGGTGCTGCGGTCACCATCTGTGTCTTGTGTCTCATCTGCACATGACAAGGAGCAAATGAAATCCAAAGATGTAATTATTAATCAAATAATATAAAATATTATAGCACATCCAAATTAAAGTTGTTCACACAGGCAGACTGATGATGAAGATAAAAGCAAAGCAGAAATAAGAATCAATATTAGTGCAATATTTATAAAAAATGTACCTTTTTATGATGATTATAGGCATGATGAAGCCGTGTCCTATTGGTCTTGGAATCGGATATTCCAAGCTCCTGACACACCTCGCCCCAGAAAGTGTCTTTCTCGTCACCTTCATCGTTGTCTTTTGTTTTGGTTGTGGCTCGAAGCTTGTCAGTGACAGCCAAAAGGACGTCTTTTGTTATTGTTATTTTTCTTGTCTGAAATTGAAATGTCAAAGTTCCGTCATTTCTTTGTAAAAAAATATGACATTTGAGAAATCATTGAATTTTTTAATGCAATTACAATTGTGTGACAAATAAGAAACACTTGCCTTCCCAAACGTTGAGAAAACCAAGACTCTGAAAAGACATAACAAGTTAAAATCTATTATTTATAGTTAGACTTTTCACTCAGTTTAGACTTTTTTAATTAATTAGCTTGATTCCCTGACTTCTGATTTGTTGCCTATGCTATGTCGATTTGCACTGAAAGGACAGAGGGATATATTCATAGGTGTCATTTAAGCTGGGGATGCTGGGTACATGTTCCCAGCACTTTTTAAAATGTTGTCCATACATTTTATAAAAGTATAACTTTATAACCTGTAATAAACAAGAACACTGTTTTTTTCTTATTTAAAAAAAATAATAATACATGTACATCTTGAGAAAACAGTTTGTCCGTTGACAATTTCTATGGGGATTCTTAAATTTGGACATGTTCATACAATTTTAAAAGATAATGTATCACCCAGTCCCCCAGCAGGGTTTTTGTTTACAAACGTGTCATCTGTTAAACAACATGTGAGTTCAGTGTGTCGGGTGCCGCGGGAAGTAGGGGTGCTGGAGGAGCTGAATGGTGTACATTTGAAAAACTGAGCGACCACCTAAATAAAAATGATTAAACTACATATAATAGTTATGATTTGACTTAAAATAAAGTCAAATCAGAACTATAAACAATTAATATAAACATTTGTGTTTTATTTTCGAACACAATTATGTATATAACTACTTTTCTGTTGAAATACAAATATACGTACCCTCGACGAGCTTCCATTACAGATGAGGTCCATGGAAGCACTAATTGACAGGTATAGAGAACCGCAGTGACGCGTGGTAAAACCCTGAAGTAAACTTCTTCCGGTTCCTTCGTGAAAAAACAATGCAAATTCTCCATAGGATTTTGGAAAATAGCTGGAAATAAGGTCTGTGGTTGACACACATTTAAGAGAGGGATCACGTTTTGTTCAGCCGGATAATCTCCACATGTCTACCCTACTTTTATCATTTTTGAATCATAAATCTAGTCGCCAAAAGCGAAATGCTAACGTTATGCTATAAACGAACTACAAGCCAGTACAGCAGCAGGGTCGCACGACTTCAACGTCACGCCAACTTAAGATCGTTTCAACTGACTTGCACTGAAACTGCACTTTGAACACTTTAAATATATTAACATTTTAAATGGTATACCCCGGTTATCTAGGCCCTTTTTGTTTTATGTATACATGTCACACTGTGGGAAACGATATTTCGATATTTCTGGATGTATAACACATGTATAATTTTTGCAACCATGTCTCCTAAAAATTACGTTCCCACAGAACTAAACTGCATTCTCAATTACGTTTAGCTAGAAACGTATTTTCTCCCACGTTACGTTCGTTATGAACGTATCTTAAATACGTTTATTTTCTACATATCTTTGCCATTTATTGTCTTGCTTATAATAATGATAATAGTCATTTATAAATATCATTTTAGAGCACACCTTTGAAATCGACAATCGGGCTCGATATATGGTTACATTAAAATCAGTAGGCAAGGCTGTAATTTCGCCAGCTGTTAATCTCATGAGCGAGGCAGAAAATAATAGCTTTAACATGACAAAAAGCTGCTGTGTCGTTTATTGCACCTCAAACATTAAAACAAATCCAGAGTTACGTGTTTCTGTGCTTCCTCGAAGAAGAAAGGACAGTAACAGAAGATCTCTGTGGCTTCAGGCTTGATCGCTGTTCAAATGACAGCGTTGGTTTACCCAAAAGTGGGCGGGGCTGTAAAGTGACGTAGATTTGACTATCATCTATTATTCAAAACCATTCTATTTATTCTAACGTAAATTGCATGCCAGTCTTTTATCTTTTTATTTATTTGTTTTTATTTTAAATCGTATAATGTCGGACTTTTTTTGTCGTCTGTGAGGAAAATAAATGGGGCTTAGAGCCTCAAAATACTGAAATCTGTATTTTTTTAATCTTTTCCTTCTAATTTGTTATTCTTTTCTAAATAACACACTGTTATTTACTCAACAATAACACACAATTATCCTTGTTTTTATTTATTCGTTTAATTCTATAATCTTGGGCTTTTTAGCCGTAAATAAAGTCACCAGAAACAGACGGGACATTTCGAGATTTAGGATGGCCAAAGATACTACACTACCCATAATCCCCAGCTATCGTTTGGGACTACAGTCCCGTTGACAAACCCTGTGATGTTGGAGTGGCAGTGCGCCAAGGTTACGCCGAGCGTCAAGCTCTTTGAAATGGAACGAAACCACGGCAGACTATTCAAAACTGGACTCGAACGCCCCCCCGAGAAATACACATGCTGGCTATTGTGTTTCGCAACATGTTCTCTATGACACGTATCTACTGGGAATTGTAGTTTTAAAAGACGTTTTTCCAAAAATTAGAAGTTGCCAGTATTAAACTGTGTACAGCCCTGGAGGTTTAGGCGATAGGAAACACATTGGTGTGTACACATTTAAAACATGTAATTACTAAATGGGTGAAAATCGCTTGTATCCATAATGTGCAGCATTAATATATATACCCACATGACAGCTCATTGTTACTTTGTAATTCTCCACTACAAATCAGAGGTTAACCTGGTATTTTTACTCCACTACATTTAGTTGAGTTACTTTGCAGATTCTGATTAATGATGTGAAATATAAACAACCCTTAAAGCAGACTTTAGTTACACCTGAGTAAAATTCAGGGAAGGTGATTGTCAAGTGCCAACAATCAGGAGAGATATTTGATAGGTGGTGCTTGAGAAGACGAAACATTTATCTGCAGATATCTATAAAGTATTCATTACTCGTTATTCTCTACTAATAGTTAATTAAAAACTGTATAATGGCTCTTTTGCACATTCCTTTCAAGATTTCAAGATTTTCTAAGGTGTATTGATCATATACACAACTTGAGTCGCAGGTTCCTCAACTGCGCATTACAAGACTCAAAAAGTACACAGTAAAAGTACTTGATTGTACTTTTGGTAGTAGTCCAAGTAGTACTGAATCCAACTGTACCAATTTTATTAAGAACTTATTGCAAAAAATCCTTTTATCTCTCATCAAAGATGGCAGAAAACATGCATTATTGTACTCAGGCGTGGAGTTTGACAAAGGATTACTCAAAAAGTACGAAGTAAAAGTACTTGATTGTACTTATGGTAGTAGTCCAAGTAGTACTGAATCCAACAGTACCAATTACATTAAGAACTTATTGCACAAAATCATTGTATCTCATCAAAGATGGCAGAAAACATGCATTATTGTACTCAGGGGTGGAGTTTGACAAAGGATTACTCAAAAAGTACACAGTAAAAATACTTGATTGTAGTTTTGGTAGTAGTCCAAGTAGTACTGAATCCAACAGTACCAATTACATTAAGAACTTATTGCACAAAATCATTGTATCTCTCATCAAAGATGGCAGAAAACATGCATTATTGTACTCAGGGGTGGAGTTTGACAAAGGATTACTCAAAAAGTACACAGTAAAAATACTTGATTGTAGTTTTGGTAGTAGTCCAAGTAGTACTGAATCCAACAGTACCAATTACATTAAGAACTTATTGCACAAAATTATTTTATCTCTCATCAAAGATGGCAGAAAACATGCATTATTGTACTCAGGGGTGGAATTTGACAAAGGATTACTCAAAAAGTACACAGTAAAAATACTTGATTGTAGTTTTGGTAGTAGTCCAAGTAGTACTGAATCCAACAGTACCAATTACATTAAGAACTTATTGCACAAAATCATTGTATCTCTCATCAAAGATGGCAGAAAACATGCATTATTGTACTCAGGGGTGGAATTTGACAAAGGATTACTCAAAAAGTACACAGTAAAAATACTTGATTGTAGTTTTGGTAGTAGTCCAAGTAGTACTGAATCCAACAGTACCAATTACATTAAGAACTTATTGCACAAAATCATTGTATCTCTCATCAAAGATGGCAGAAAACATGCATTATTGTACTCAGGGGTGGAGTTTGACAAAGGATTACTCAAAAAGTACACAGTAAAAATACTTGATTGTAGTTTTGGTAGTAGTCCAAGTAGTACTGAATCCAACAGTACCAATTACATTAAGAACTTATTGCACAAAATCATTTTATCTCTCATCAAAGATGGCAGAAAACATGCATTATTGTACTCAGGGGTGGAGTTTGACAAAGGATTACTCAAAAAGTACACAGTAAAAATACTTGATTGTAGTTTTGGTAGTAGTCCAAGTAGTACTGAATCCAACAGTACCAATTACATTAAGAACTTATTGCACAAAATTATTTTATCTCTCATCAAAGATGGCAGAAAACATGCATTATTGTACTCAGGGGTGGAATTTGACAAAGGATTACTCAAAAAGTACACAGTAAAAATACTTGATTGTAGTTTTGGTAGTAGTCCAAGTAGTACTGAATCCAACAGTACCAATTACATTAAGAACTTATTGCACAAAATCATTGTATCTCTCATCAAAGATGGCAGAAAACATGCATTATTGTACTCAGGGGTGGAGTTTGACAAAGGATTACTCAAAAAGTACACAGTAAAAATACTTGATTGTAGTTTTGGTAGTAGTCCAAGTAGTATTGAATCCAACAGTACCAATTACATTAAGAACTTATTGCATAAAATCATTTTATCTCTCATCAAAGATGGCAGAAAACATGCATTATTGTACTCAGGGGTGGAGTTTGACAAAGGATTACTCAAATAGTACACAGTAAAAGTACTTGATTGTATTTGTGGTAGTAGTCTAACATGTACTGAGTCCAACAGTACCAATTTTATTAAGAACTTATGGCTAAAAATCATTTTATCTCTCATCAAAGAGGGCAGAAAACATGCATTATA